AGTGCGCCTGAGGCGCGGGTGCCGCCATCTTGAGTGAGGGCAGCGCTGAGTCGGCTGTGTGGCCATATTGATTCCTGGCAGGAAAGAGAGTTATGGGCTTCGCTGCCTTGAGAACTAAAGGGAGAGAGGGGCCATGTTTAGTGTGGGCAAGTGTCCGTGTGAGAACACCCTGCCCAGGCCCTGCCACACCAGGGAGCCACTAGGCCCGTGGCCCGCAAGTTCTCCGCCGCTGAGTGAGGGCAGCGCTGAGTCGGCTGTGTGGCCATATTGATTCCTGGCAGGAAAGAGAGTTATGGGCTTCGCTGCCTTGAGAACTAAAGGGAGAGAGGGGCCATGTTTAGTGTGGGCAAGTGTCCGTGTGAGAACACCCTGCCCAGGCCCTGCCACACCAGGGAGCCACTAGGCCCGTGGCCCGCAAGTTCTCCGCCGCTGGCCTGAGGCTCTCAGGACCCCAAAACCCCACTTCGGGGGGCAGACCACCTCCAGTTGAAGGGCAGCACTACAGTCAAAGGGTGCATTTGCCCCAGAGGGAAGCAGCACCTCCAGTTTCTGGGAGTCCCCCTGCCCCTGTGTGCACACACAAGTTGTTCCCCCGTGTTGTGAAGATAACCCTTTGGCCCGCTTCGGAGGTGAAAGGTGGACTCCTGGAGCTGTGCCTGCAGCCTGCAGGGAGCCCAAAGGGAGCTGGGTGGGATGGGGCTGCAGGTCAGCCAGGCTGTCCCCCACTTTGGGACAGGGGGTTTCACCCGGTGATGGCTGGGGACTGCAGGGAGGCGTACACCAGGATGGTGCTCAGGGTTGGCTTACACATCCCTGAAGGACAAGGAATTTACCCCTACCCATGGCAAAGCTGTTCCAACAGTAAATAAATAAGTAAAACTTTCACACAAACATTAATTCATGGAAGATATTAATGGATATCGACAGCTTTTTGCTTCCAATAGAGACAGTACACCTGGAGACAGGTACCAGCCCAAATAAAACCACTCACTCCCTTGTTAGCCAGCACTTGCCCCTTCTTTCAGACCTGTAAAAGGGCTCCTGTGGCCCAAAGCCGATTGTTCTTCTTCCCAACTGCACTCCTTGGTCCAACAGACAATGCTGCGTCTCCACGTTCACCTCATGCCAACTGCTACATCCTCACCCCAGCACGTAGCAAAATAAAGCTCTCCACACCATCCATCTTCTAAATGATAAATGTTACAAGTAATTTTTATTTAGAATACAAGAGCGAGGTACAAATGTATTTACACTGTGTACATATACAATCAAATAATATATAATATCAAAGTTTTGTAAATAATGTTTACATAAATATTTACAAAGTTAAAGTGACTGGTTTTTTTTCTTTCTGGAAGTAAAACACAGTTTGTGAGAACTTTATACATCTTAGACTTATAATTAATATTAGAATACCTTCTTTTAAGCTTTATGATACACAGCCCTCCTCTCACGTATGGCAGGACTCCAGAGGGCGCTTAGAGATGTCCTTGGGGACAGAGCTGGCCCAGGGACCGCTTTTCTCTGTCCCCAGAGGACAGTGGAAGTAACAGCCGAGATGTTCCCTCAGGGCTGCGGGGAGCGATGGGGAGCGATGGGGAGCGATGGGGAGCGATGCTCCCGGGGCTGGAGCAGGCACAGCCCAGTAGAGCACAGGGTCGTCCCCCAAAAATGTGCCTGTGGAGGGGCATTTCCAGCTGGCATATCATGCTGGGGGTGTCCCCATGGCACATGTCCTGTCCCCCATGCCCATGGCATCCCTTGGATGTGTGTGGCAAACCCCAATGTGTGTCTCAGGCTGAAGGGGGGCAGGCAAGGGGGCTCGGGTGGGGGAAAATGCCACGGTTTGCTAAATCAAGGCTCCCAAGGAGGATAATGTGTCCCTTGGGCTAAACAGACATGACTGGGATGGCCCCAGTGGGGCTGTGCCAGCCTTTTGGTGGGGCACAGGTCCCTCTGGGCACTCCCTGGAACAGAGGAGGAGGGATAAAACCAATTTTTCTTTCCATCAAATTATCTGTAGAACCTAGGTGTGATTCATCCAGGCCGTTTTTAGGCTCCACCAGTGCACTATCAAATCCGCACAGGACATCCCCCTGTGTCCCCTCTCCCCCTGCCAACTCCATTGACCAGCAGCCCACCCTACACCACATTTCCCACATCTCCAGCAGCTTTGGGAACAGCCACCCAAACCCCACGCTCCAAAAATAACCCATCACCCCCCGCTTCAACACAAAGCAGACCCTGCCTCTGCCCCCCAGCTCTGCCAAGGGCCAACACCCCCAAGTTCATCACACGTCTCAGCACCAGTCTTTGCTGTCCGAAAATCCCGCTGCCACGCCAGAGCTTCACAGCACCATGGTGGGGATGTGGTGGGCCAGGGAGGTGGGATGGGGCACAGGTAGGGCGGGCGAGTGAGCCTGAAGGGAGGCGTTGGGGGGCCGGTGACGGGCGCTTTTCTGGTGCGCCCGCAGCCCGGCGAGCTGGGAGTAGGCACTTTGGCAAACCTGGCACTTGTAGGGCCGCTC